TGAAGCCTGGCTTGGAGAATTTTGAGCATTACTTTGCTAGCGTGTGAGATGAGTGCAATTATGTAGTAGTTTGAACATTCTTTGGCATTGCCTTTCTTTGGGATTGTAATGAAAACTGACCTTTTCCAGTCCTGTGGCCACTGCTGAGTTTTCCAAATTTGCTGGCATATTTCCAAATTTGCTGGCTAAAACAAACAATGTGTTTGTTTTATCATCCCAGTGATATCAGTGAAACTAAGCTTGAGTGCCATATCATTTTGATTTTTATTCTAGTCAGTTAGTAGATTCCCACCCCCCCCATTTTCCCTGTTGCTTGCAGCGTTTGATTTTCACACTTACTATGTATAGCGTGCATGTGTGCCAACTTGCTTTAGTCGTATCTGACTCTTCTCGACCCCGTGGACTATAGCCCACCAGGCTGCCACGTCCATGGGATTCTCCAGGCAAGAATACTGGAGTGGGTTGCCATGCCCTCCTCTACGGGATCTTCCCGACCCAGGGATCAAATCCATGTCCCTTATGTCTCCTGCATTGGCAGGGGGTTCTTTATCACTAGCACCACCTGAAGCCCAACTTTGTACAGCAAGAATTACAAAAATGTTTATGTCCTTTGACCCCTAATACAGTGATCCTGATACCCTCTTTTTCATCATCAGCATTTTGTGACACCCCCTTTTCTATACTGAAATGAAGTCATGGGTAATATCTATCTAGAGATATGATTTCAAGAATTCAAGACAATACTTCAAAGAAGCAAAAGGAATGTGAAATAAGAATAACTATATAGGAAGACACAGGCTTCCCTGGTAGCTCAGAATCTGCCTACAATGCAGGAGACCCCGGTTTGATTCCTAGGTAAGGAAGATCTGCTGGAGAAGGGATAGGCTACCCACTCCAGTATTCTTTGGCTTTGCTGCTGGCTCCACTGGTAAAGAATCCACCTGCAATGCAGGAGACCTGAGTTCAATCCCTGGATTGGGAAGATCCCCTGGAGAAGGGAATGGCTATCCACTCCAGTATTCTGGCCTGGAGAATTCCATTGACTATACAGTCCATGGGGTCACAAAGAGTCAGACACGACTAAGCGACTTTCAAATATATTTATAGTAAGACATGGGCTTCCCAGGTGGTTCAGTGGGTAAAGAATCCATCTGCAATGCAGGAGAGTTGGGTTCACCTGGAGAAGGAAATGGCAACCCATTCCAGTATTCTTGCCTGAAAAATCCCATGGACAGAGTAGCCTGGTGGACTACAGTCCATGAGATGGCAGAGAGTCTGACACCGCTGAGCACAAAAGTTTGCTGGAAGCCACTGGACCTTATCTTGCTGCAGCGGTTAAAAACACTCTGGTGTTTGTTACATTGTTTGTTCTATTTTTCACAAATGGCTGACAAATGATTTATACTGTGTGCAGGTTGTGGTTCGGGAACTGCTGGCTCAGTACACCAAGCAGTATGAAGAAAGACCGGTCTCCAGCTTGCTCCGAAACTGGGCGGAATCGGGGAGTGACAGGCTGAGAACCAGGTGTGTGATCACTCAGGCTGCCAGCATCCTTGACCTGGAGTCTTATTCTTGAGCCTGACTATACAGAGCCTTGTACAATTCACACTTTTTTAAATGTAAAATATTGATATATAATAGATAATCAACGAGGACCTAGTGAATAGCACAGGGAACTCTGCTCAATGCTCTGTAATAACCTAGATGGGAAAAGAATCTGGAAAAGAATAGATATAACTAAACCACTTTGCTGTACACCTGAAAAGAAGACAACATTGTGCATCAATTACGTGCATGTTTGCTCAGTCGTGTCTGACTCTGCAACAGCGTGGAATGTCGCCCACCAGGCTCCTCTGTCCATGGAGTTTCCCAGTCCAGAATACTGGAGTGGGTTGCCATTCCTGCTCCAGGGGATATTCCCAACCCATGGATTGAACCCATATCTTCTGTGTTTAAAAAAATACTGGTATATGGAAACATATATATGAATATGTAATTTCAATACTCATGTACCCAGAATCCAACTTAAGGACCAGAAGACTGCTAATTCTGCTCCTCCTACATGTGTTCCTTCTTTTTAGCATGTCCACTGTGGCAAGGACTTTGCAGGTTTTTGTTATTTCCATATCACAGATGAGGAAACAGGCACAGAGGTTAAGTATTTTGCCCAAGATTGTGTGCCAGTGGGTGACAGAGCTAAAATTTGAATCCAGATAGTTGGGCTCCAGGATCCATGCTTTGGGTTGTTTTCACTGATTTTTCATATTATCTATAAGCTTGATAAATAAGGTGTAAATGTGTGTGGTATTCTGTAGCTTCCTGTTTTTACTCAATACTTTCTTAGGTTCATCCAAGTTATTATGTATGGCTGAAGAGCTTCTGTCTCTGCTCGTAATATTTCATCATGTGTCTGTGCTGCAAGTTACTTATGCCTTCTAATCTCCAGTATCAGTGGATATTTGTGTTGTATTTTTGATATCTTGCACAACACTCTTATGAAAAATCTTGTACATGTTTTCTGGGGAACGTGGGCAAGAATTTCTACAGGGCTTTCAAATTTAGTTGCCATGACTAAGAGTGAGAAATAGGTTTTACGTCACCATGGACACCCACACACCCATAGAGTTCCTCCCCACCACAGACACACATGAAACAAACATGCCGTGAAACAATGCTCTTCCTATTACTCGTAATGTCCTCTGGTGTTTTTTAATTTTGTTTTTTGAAAATACTGATCTCAATCATTTAAACTGATTTCATGTGCTGTTTTAGCGATTTTCAATCTGTTGCCCGAAAAAAACACTCCTTAATAGCGTATATTACCCAGGTGTGAAATTGCTGTGTTGTGGTATGCCAGTGTTGAACTTTACTAGATCATGCCGATTTATTTTTCAAAGTGACTGCATACATTTTTTTATCCCCACCAACAGCTTGTGTCTTATAAAACCAACACTTAGCATTGTCAGATTTAATTTTTGTCAGTATAAGAAAAAGATCTCTCACTGTAGCTTTTTAAAAATTTTATTTTATTTTTAAGTGGAGAGTAATTACTTGACAGTATTGTGATGGTTTCTGCCATACATCAGCATGAATCAGCCACAGGTATATATATGGTACCTCCCTCTTAAACCGCCCCCCCCCCCCCCCCCCCCCCCCCCCCCCCCCCCCCCCCCCCCCCCCCCCCCCCCCCCCCCCCCCCCCCNGGATTCCCTGTGTCCTGCAGCAAACTCCCACTGGCTGTATACTTTACATCTGGTAATGTGTGTGTTTCAATGCTACTCTCTCAAATCATCCCACCTTCTTTCTCCCTGACTGTGTGCAAGTCTGTTCTCTCTGTCTCGTCTTGGCTGCTGCCCTGTAGATACGTTCATCAGTGCCATCCTTCTAGATTCCGTATATATATATATGGGTTAATATACAATATCTGTCTTTCTCTTTCTGACTTACTTCAGAGTATGTTAGGCTCTAGGTTTGTCCACCTCATTAGAATCTAGTCAGATATTTACTTTTATTTCTTTATTTGGCTTCACCAGGTCTTAGTTGAAGCATGCAGAATCTTTAGTTGGGGCATTTGGGATCTAGTTCCCTGGCTCAGGATTGAACCCGAGGCCTTTGCATTGAGAGCACAGAGTCTTAGCCACTGGGGAAGTCCCTCACTATGGCTTTAAAATTGCATTTTTCTTATTATTATTATAGTTGAGCATGTGTTCACATTCTCTTTACCATTTGTATTTCTTCTTATGCAAAATGCTTGTCATGCATTTTGTCAGTTTTTCTGTTTTTGTTTTATTTGGTCTTAGTCAGTGTTGATTTTTAGATGTTACAGCTGTCTTCTCCAAGTTTGTGGCTTATCTTAGGTTTTCTTTATGATGTCTTTGAGTAACATAAATTCTTCAATTGCAGTTGAATTTTCAATATTTTCTTTTATATCCCACACTTCCTGTATCTTGTCTACTTTGTGATTGTGAAATATATATGTTTTAATATTATTGAAAGTTTGAGAATTTCACTTTTCACCTTGAATTCTTGAATCCATTAGAAATTTCCGTCTGTGGTGTGAGGAAGGGATTTAATTTCATTTTTTTTCTCCTGTGGGGATTGTCAGTTTTTCCAGACCCATTTTCTGAATTCACTGCCTTTCCCTAGTGATCTAGAATGCCCCCGCTGGCATTTATTAAACTTTTATGTATGTGGAAGTCCATTTGTTCCCAGTCTGCCTGTGTGTTCTTTTTTAAGTTGGTTAGTGAGTTTGGCTGCTCCGGGTCTCACTGCAGCATGCCGGATCTTTTTGGTTGCGAGTGCAGACTCTTAGTTGTGGCACGCGGGATCTAGTTCTCTGACCAGGGGTCCGATCCAGGCCCCCTGCATTGAGAGCGTGGAGTCACAGCCGCTAGACCACCAGGGAAGTCCCTGTTTGTATATTCTGAATCTGACAAAACACTGTCTCAATTCCACTAGATTTATAACCGTGTAATAGTATTATGTGGCACATATTACATATGATACTATTATATCTAAAATATAATTGAGAATTGTGGCAGCTATTCTGGGTCTTTTGTATATCCTTACAAGTGTAAGAGTAAGTTTGTCAAGTTCCTCCAAAAAAAAAGAAAGTAAGTAAAGACGGTGCATACAGCAAAAGGACAAATATTATACAGTTGCACTTATATGTGGTATTATCTATAGTAGTCAAGTTCATAGAGACAGAAAGTAGAATAGTGGGACTTCCCTGTGGTCCGGTGGTTAAGACCTTCCGATACAGGGGGTGAGGGTTTGCTCTCTAGTTGGGGAGCTAAGACCCCACCTGCCTAGCAACCATAAAATCCAAACATAAAACAGAAGCAATATTGTAATAAATTCAATGAAGACTTTCAAAAAGGACCCACATTAAGGGAAAAAAATCTTAAAAAAGAAGAAAGTAGAATAGTGGTTACCAGGGGCTAGTAGGAGGAGGAAATGGGAGATAGTGTTCACTGGCTGCAGAATTTCAGTTTGGGAAAATGAAAAAGATTTGAAGGTGAGTAATAGTAATGGTTGCATGATAATGTGAATGTACTTAATGCCGCTGAACTATACCCTTAAAAATGGCTAAGGTGGCAGATTTTATTTTATGCTTATTTTACCACAATTTTTAAGAAATCTACTGGAATTTTCTTTAGAAGTTTATTAAATCTATAGATTTGCAGAAAAATTGACATGCTTGTAAAACTGAACTTCCTCTCAAATATTTTAATCTCCCAAGTGTCTTCCAGAGTTATATATATGTATGTGTGTGTGTGTGTGTGTGTGTGTGTGTGTGTATTCTTTCAAACATAGTACAACTTTGGACAGATTTATTACTGGGTACTTTATAATTTTGTTGTTGCCATAAAAAGAACATTTTTAAATTATGTTTTTTTGTTCTTGATTTACTATACACACAGTTGACTTTTGTATATAAACCTGACCATAAAATATGTCATTTAAATGTGCTGATAGATTCTTTGCATTTCCATAGACAGTCATACCATCTGCAAATAGTATATTTTATTCCTTCTTTTCCAGTTATTGCTTCTTTTATTTGTTTTTGTGAGAAGGTGTTCTAGTCCTGATTTTCAAAAGAATTAGTTTGATATTTCACTATTAAGAATGCATTTGCTAAAGTTTTTGATAGGCATACTTTACCTCCTAAGGAAGCTCCATTTACTGTTGTTTTTAACGTTTATATCATTATTTGATGATGAATTTTATGCAAATGATTTTTTGTCTATTAAATTATCTTATGTTATTTCTCCTTAACATGTTTTGGTAAATAACACTTGTGTGCTTAAGAAACACTCAGTGTTGACATACTGTATTATTATTTTTATATTTTCCTGGGTTTGACTTGTTAGTATTATTTTTAGGGTTTTTGTGTACTTCTTAGCTTATTGTTTTCCTTTCTCGTACTTCCCTGATTGGATTTATATCAAGTTTTCCTGGTCACAGAAGTTATTTTGGGAGTAGTTTCTTATTCTGTAGAAGAATCTGAAAAGTTATTTGAAAACTATCTGGGTTTGGGTAATATTTAAACAACTGATTCAATTAGTTTAATGGTTTTAAGACCATTTAGGCTTTCTCTTCTGCCAGTTTTGGTAAATGATGTTTTTCTAGGAATTTATCTGCTTGATTCCAGATCTGCTGGTATAAGGTTTATCATGTTGCTGTTGTTTAGTCTGTCAGTCACGTCCGACTCTTTGCAATCACATGGACTGTAGCCCACCATGCTCCTCTGTCCATAGGGTGGTCTGGGCAAGAATCCTGGGGGAAGTTGCCATTTCCTTCTCCAATAAGGTTTATCATACTGCTCTCTAATTATCCTTTTAACTTCTGCTAGATCGATAGTTCAGTTTAGTTCAGTTCAGTTGCTCAGTCGTGTCTGACTCTTTGCAACCCCATGGACTGCAGCACGCCAGACCTCCCTGTCCATCACCAACTCCTGGAGCTTACTCAAACTCATGTCCATTGAGTTGGTGATGCCATCCAACCATCTCATCCTCTGTCAT